TTGCACCAGAAACACTAAAACTTTTAATACCCTCTGAAAGGTTATCCCAATTTACAGATGAGGAAAGTGAGACCTGCAGAAATTAAGTAAATTGCCTAGATTCTCACAACTGGTCAGAAGCAGGGCCAGAGTTGACAGTCAGGAAGGACGGCTCCATAGTTCCCACTTTCTTAACCCCAACAGTATAAAGTGTCTCAGGAATAATAACAACAACCATTCTTCTGTTTCCTTCATGTCAAGGACCCCTGGTGGTACAATGGTTAAAACACTTGATTGTTAACTGAAAGGTCGATGATTTGAAACCATCAGCTACTCCGAGGAAGAGAGATGTGGCAATCCCTTGGGACTCCTATTGGGCAGTTCCACCCTCTCCTATAGGATTGCTATAAGTCAGAATTGACTCAACAGTAGCAGGGTTGGTGTGGGGTTTTCTTCATAACTGCTTTTTTCAGGTTTATGAAGGAAAGTTGACCATGAACTGCCAAAGTTCTGAGGTGCACTAGGCTTAAAGCGGTGGAAGGGAGGGAAGGGAGTCTCTAGTTCAAGGCAGTCTGGGGCACCTCATGCATGCAGGGATGAGGAAGGGTTAAAACGTCCACTAATGAGGTAGTGCTCTCCTTGTGCCAAAATGAAAGATAAAAATTGAATCATAACTGCAATTAGCAAATTAGGGTGTAGCTGGAATGAGGAAATTAAATGGATGTGCTATCTGCAAGTGCAAAAATAAATTAATTTGACCCTGTCGAAGCCCAATCAAACGTGGGGAGACTTACTACAATCTCCTAGAGATTTCCTCTCAGAATTTTACCGCAAGCAAACAGCACACTCCACCAGGAACAGATGCATTCGATTGTTGTTTAAACAAACATGAAAAGCACTTTGAGAAGAATACATTGATATGTGGGCCTGAGAAGTCTTTTACCTAATAAAACCATGTTGGTCAAAATATGCCAACTTTGCCACCTTATAAAGCAATTATGGTTTCTTCTTTTTTACATCTGAATTTTTACAACTTAGGAATAATGCTCTTTGCAAGGGAAAAAAAGGGACCAAGTAGGCTGCTGGCAATCTTTAGGTATTCCATTTCTACTTTGGTGTTCTTCTCATCACATACCTTGGCACCTCCAAGGATCTCTCAATTAAAACCTCAGAACACACTGTGCAAAACAGTAGGCAGAGGCCTTACGTGCGCCAACTGGCATGCAAGATAGCACAAGGAATTGGGCTTGGCACAGGTTTTTTCTAAGATAACATGTCAGTGTCATTTATTGTAATTTGGGAAGGTCTTAAAGATGAAAAAAATACCACTAAAATTCAAAAGTTTATGTAAACCAAGAAACTATATAAAAAGCACAAGAAATTTACGGGGTTCCAAGAGTACTGTAGTAACTTCCCTTTTAAATGAACTTTTCCTTTAAATTGCATCCAACTGTTACCACAACCATGTTAGAGTCTTGGCTATGAGAAGCTTTTGTGAGGGGCCATCAGTTCATTCCCTTTACCATATCTGGAAGGTGTACACCAAGCTATGACAGCAGAGGTGGTGTGGCATCCTGTTATGAGAGTACATTTTACCCGGTCCTTAGGAAGCCACTCCAGAGTACATGTGTACCTCTCTCATCGAAAAGAACAAGTTATCACCTGCTGTTGTTGTTGTTAAGTGTTATTGAGTCGGTTCTGACTCGTAGCAACCCTGTATAGGGTTTCCTAGAAGTGGCTGGTGGGTTTGTATTGTCAACCAAGTGGTTAGCAGCCCGGTGCTTATCCTACAGTGCCACTCCAGAATTCCAGTTATCACCTATTTCAGACTAATATGTTTGTTGATGCTAACACTAATGGACAAGAAAGAAAATGGAGTGATAAGGAACTTACAGATACGTGATGGGGAGGTGCGGGTGGTGTGGGTAGCCCAAGTGGGATAATATTAGGATATGTGTGCATCACACACAACAGGAGTGAACTGACCACACAAAAAGTGTAAGTGACTTGTTTCCCTATTCTCCAATGCCTTCAGTTTGGTGATCCCCTTCCCTATCGTTCTCATCCCAAACTGCTAAATCGATAAACACCTTATCATAATTCACAGCTCTAGCCAGACATGAACCTCCTAGAGCCTCTTCAGTTCACGTGACTGAGAAAATGAAGTCAGTCCTCCATGGCCCTCATTTTTCAGAGCGTACTAAGCAACTCTGCCTACGGAAACCTCAAAAGTTGTCAGAGCTTACCAAGAATAAATCTAAATGTTCTGTCCCAGGCTTGTCTCAGGCCAGATCTAGAAATACAATTGCCTTGCAAAAATTAATTTAATATTAGACTCTGGTTTGCTCTCCAACGCTGCCTCGTTCATCTTTTTTTTTTTAATCTCCCATCTGTTATAGAAGTCTCTCTACCACATTAATGTTTATTTCTGTTGTTACTACTGCTAGTACTATTAGTAATAATAATAGTCTGAGTTCCCACTGAATAGTTTTCATCTTGTCTAGATAGGTCTGGTTAAAAGAGATGGGGCTAAGATTCTTATGATTCAATAGTGAGTAATTGTTATCATGACTAATTGCAACTGTCACAATTGTAAAGATAGAAGTTTTGTAAGAAAAACAGGGAGTAGTTAATCTTATAGTCCAGAAACAAAGGACCCTAGGGCCATCAAGGAAGAAGAGCACAAGTGGAATGCGAGACCTTGTCAAGAGAAGCAGCAATACCAGAGATGGAGGTAGAGATGAGGACATGGAGAGAGGGAGCAACTGAGGACTCTAGATTCATGGGAAGACAGGGACTAAGAGCTGGTGGCCAGGAGGCAGACTTTCAGAATGTGCCCTTTGGAGGTGTAAATTATTATATATGCCTAAGTGTTGTTATTTAAAAAGAGCTGGAGTGAGTAGAGAGAAATACTGTTATCTGATGGCATGTGGAGGGGATTATAATCATTGTAATGAAACAAGGTGTCTAATTTGTTGAATGTAAAATTAATGATCTGCCCTGTAAATTTTCACTCAATTCATAATAAAAACTTAAAAAAATATAATAATCTATATCTGCATATTTTCCTTGGTGTGGTATTACAGGCTAAGCAATACACTGCTAACCACAAGGCTAACAGTTCAAACCTACAAGCTGCTTCTTAGAAACCCTATACTCTATGACTCAGAACTAACTTGACAGTGTTTAACAACAGCAGCAACATATCTAAGCATCTTTCTATCAATCTATCTATCCTTGTATTTTAAAGTTCTTCAGTTTATTTATACACAAGATTCATTTAGTCTTCCTCACAACCCTCATAAATATTACTATTATTATTCCTGTTTTAACATTTTACCCAAGGACATACAGATATTAATGGCAGTACTGGTGATCTACTTCTTAAAAATCAGCCACTGAAATCTTACATTTGAGAATAGAGTCTGGACATTAAGCTTTATTTGACATGTGTCCATATCATTTGCTTTATTGATAACTATGTACCATTTTTGTTCATTTAAAAAGCCAATTCTATACTCTATTTCTTAAAAAATCTGCTTCAGAATTCATAAGGCAAATAAAGTACAAAAAGATTCCTGTGTAAACTTGCCATGGAAGTTCACCAATATTGCATCAGAATCAATTATGGACAATTTTTTAAAAACTCAGAAACCCTGTACAGGGTCACTATGAGTCGGAACCGACTCCACGGCACATAACAACAACAACAACAAATGCAATACTTGGGACCCATTTCAGAGTAAAATAAAAGCATTATTTCCATAAGATAGGTGAAGGTCCTATTCCCCAGCACTATGCCCTCTTATTACTGGCCTAGAGAAACTCATGAGGAATAAACTGAAGGGGAAAACATAAACAACTTTAACTTCAATATTTTTTCCTGTGACTATTTTAACACAAAATCTAACACTGTTAGCTACTACAGAGGTAGTAACTTGGGGAAGTGGCTCTAATGCCAGCACCAATTGCTGCAGCAGTGGCAGGAAATCATGGTGGAGAGGGGCATGGTTGTAGATCATTACACTGGCCTGCTTGTCCACAACAATCATAAATGGCATTTCCCAGTAAGTCTAGTAAGTATGTTAGCAATTTCCCGAATGTGACACATGTATCCCCATGGCTACCATTCCTATTAGAGTTAAGAATAGCCCTTCATTGTAGATACAATTGATCCTTGAACAATTCAGGTTTGAACTGCGTGGTTCCACTTACACCTGGTGTAAGTGATTTTTAATAAACACCACATAACGCTAATTATCTCTGTAAGCAGTTTGTCTCTCCTGTAAATTGGATAACACGGTAAAAAGTGATCTCTCCCAGTCCTCACATATTTTTCATCGTATTTAAGTGCAAAACTGTAGACCCTGACTAACACCATGGTTCTCATACAAAGTGCCGCTAGTAATGCTGGCAGTGCTCCTGAGAAGCAGAGAAAAGTCATGACAAGACAAGAAAAGCTGAATTGCTTGATATGTACCATAGACTGAGGTCTGAAGCTGGGGCTGTCCACTACCCCTCAAAATAAATGACTCCAGCGACCCCAGTGTATGGGTGATTGTAAAAAAAAAAAAAAAAAAGAAAGAAGGAAAAGGACATTCATGAAGTTGTTGCTGCAACTACGCCAGCAGGCACGAAAACCTCGCACCTTTTGTAAAATGTTTTTTCCCCTCCACTTATACTGAAAATGCAGCTTTTATGTGGGTGCAGTATAAAATACACATGGCATACAAAATACATGTTAATTGACTGTTTACACTGTCAGTAGGGATTCTGGTCAACTAAGAGTAATTAAATTTTTGGGGGGAGTCAAAAGCTACACGAAGATTTTTGGTCATGCAGGGGGGTCAGCACCCCTAACCCTGGCATTGCTCAATGGTCAACTATATGCATAAAATTCTGAAAGGAAACTCAGGTATTTAACTTATACACAGTTAGAATTTGAAAAATATAAATACAGTACTCCACTGGCTCTAAAATCCCAAGCACACGTCAAGTGTAATCCAAAGCTTTTCACTTACTTGGTACTAGGCCGTTTTTGCAGGGCTTTGTCCAGGATCAGGGATGGGGCACTCCGCCTTCTTTCTGATAATGTTTTCATTTTCTGTTAAAACAAAAATCTAAGTGAAGACCATATGGCTTGTAAAGCAAACAAATGCTGATTTTCAATCTAATTAAACAAGTTTTATTGCCTTTTGTTGGTGTTAGGTGTCATTGAGTCGGTTCTGACTCATAGGGACCCTTCATAGGGTTTTCAAGGCTGAAAATATTGGAGGGAGCAGAAAGCCTCATCTTTCTCCCAAGGAGCGGCTGATGGACTCCAACTGCCGATCCTGTGGTTCGCTGTCCAATGCTTATCTTACAAAGCCACCACACCACAATTTATGACAACTAAAATAAGATGGAAACAAACAAACAAAACAAAAACAACCAACCAACTGCCACTGAGTCAATTCAGACTCAGGTTACAAGTAGGGCTGCTAATCTCAAGGTCAGCAGTTTGAAACTTCCAGCCATTCCGTGGGAAAAAGATGAGGCTTTATGCTCCCATAAAGATTTACACCTCGGTCTCTATGAGTTGGTACCTACTCCACAGCACGGAACCATTTTAAACAACAACCCTCTATAGGATTTCTAAGTCTGTAAATTTTCATGGGAACAGAGTCTCGTCTTTGCCCCATGCAGTGACTGGTGCAGGTCTGAATTGCTGACCATCCTGTGCTTAAGATGGTAACTGTCAAAACGTGGTATGGATAGTATTTTTAGATCAGAGTAAGATGTAAAATGTTGACCAGACTGTCATCAATCACAGCTAACGTACATGTTGGTTTTTATGTGTCAAGCTTTGTTCTATAGGTCTGATATGGATTATCTCATGCCTACTCCAAAAAATGATCAGTGTAGTGCTACTATCCCCAAGCTGAGCCTTCAAGGAAAGACAGGATTAGGAGAAACAACTAAAGATAAGACAAAAAACAATGAACACACAGGCACAGAGACCAGATTCTTACACAATCATTTAATCAGCCTTTACATTTTATTTTAAACTTAAATATTTACGTATTTGGAAATCGCATCTTCAGAAGAGATTTTAGCTGTAACTTAAAGTAAAAAATGGAAAGGACTTTCCCCCCATTTTTCAACTGGCATATTAAGATAGGACTAACTGGATAATAGGTATTCTGTTTCCAATGACCTGAAATTTGAAGTAAATGAGGCTTTACTCAACTTGAATTATCTACATAATTACTCTCTTATATCAATCATATATTTAACACCTCTAGATACCTGCCACAAGAAATAGATGACCAAAATTAACAATATTCACAAACAGGCACAAGTGAAGTTCAGGCTGGGTCACCCTGCTAATTCTTCATTCTTCATATCCTCTCCCAGCTGTCTGAGGGCCTAGGCCACTCATGCTCAGGGACCAGGTGTTGCCCATATAAAATTCACAAGCTGACTTAAAAGGAACCCTGGTTGCACAGTGGTTAAGTCCCCAGCTATAAGGTCTTTGGTTCAAATCCACTAGCTAAGAATTTATTTGATGACAAGGGGTCTGGGTTTTTGTTTGTTAGAAGATGGCCTTACTATCCCATGACATGATTCGCAAAGAAATGGTTTCTTAAGTAAAGAAAAAACCTAGATCCTGGCATACATAGGCACAGAGGGAGAATCGCCAAGTGATTGGTTGCTGAACTACTTTGGACCAATTTTTATTATCAAAATTTACCAATCCTCAGGGATCACTCTCAAACCACAGCCAGCACCACCCTAGCCGCCAGGTGGCTACTCTCACATCAGTACTCTGGCTCCCAAGTGCAACAACATGCCCAAATGGGAGACAGGCTCTCATTTAGCACAGATGAGACTGGATGAAATGACTACATACAACATTACTAAAGGGCAGGATGTAAGTGGGTAGGAAATATAGTGTATAAAACACACATAGCAATCAGGAGATGTTGTTGTTGTTGTTGTTGTTGTTGTTGTTAGGTGCCATCGAGTCGGCACCAACTCATAGCGACCTTACGCACAGCAGAATGAAACAATGTCCGATCCTGGGCCAATCTCACAACTGTTGCCACACTTGAGTCCATTGATGCTGCCACCTGGCCAATCCATCTCGTTGTGGAGTCTCCCTCTTTTTCTCTGACTCTCCATCTTACCAAACATGATATCCTTCTCCAGCGACTGTTCATCTTGGTCATCTTGGCTTCCAAGGAGCACTCTGGCTGCACTTCTTCCAAAACAGATCTATTGGTTCTTTTGGCAGCCCATGGCACTTTCAATATTCTCCTCCAACACCATAATTTAAAGGAATTCTTCTACAGTCTTCCTTATTCACTGTCCAGCTTTTGCATCCATATGAGGTTATTGAAAATACCATGGTTTGGGTCAGGCGCACCTTAGTCCTCAAGCTGACATCTTTGCTCTTCAACACTTAAAAAAATTCCTGTGCAGCAGATTTGCCTAACGCAGTACATCACCTGATCTCTTAACTGCTGCTTCCGTGAGTGTTGATAGTTGATCCAAGAAGAATGAAGTCTTTGACAACTTCAATCTTTTTTAGTAACCATGAATTGGCTTCAGGGCAGATGTGATTTTTGACATAACTGTGTCCCTTTTGGTGACAGAGCCCACAGCTTTCATTTGTTATCTCCTGAAACTCCGGTACCTTCAATAACCTCCTTGATAAAGTATTGCTTGCTTGCAAGCCCCATCCCACTATTTGTATTAGTTCCACCTCTTAGAACCATAACCTGCAGGAACCTAATCATCCTGAAGCTAGTGTGACTACAAAGACAGCAAGGAGAAGGGAATCCTGGGAGACAAGTATCTGAGTCACATGGTCCACCAGCCCCTCCCCATATGAAAAGTCTCAATGCCATAAGAGTGCATTGATTTAATAAAAAAAAAAAAAAATAGTGGCACTTTGTTCATATGCATTAAGCTATAATCCACAATTTTTGCAGGTTTCTGTTTTACCTTCAGGGTTGGTTTTGAGGAGTCCTTTTGTGGCACTCTAGGATAAGCACGGGCCACAAGGTCGGTTTGAACTGCAAGGTCAGCAATTCAAACTCACGAGCTGCTCCTCAGAAACCCCCTATATAGGCTTGCTATGAGTCAGAACTGAGTACTGGTGTGGAGCTGTAGGTTAATATGTTGGACTGCAAAGTCGGTTTGAACTGCAAAGTTGGTGGTTCAAGCTCACCAGCTACTCCTCTGAAACAGGGTCACTACAGGTCGGAACCAACTCGATGGCACTTAACAACAACAACGAATCACAACAGACTCATTGGTACTTAATAATCACACTCCTATCCTGCTTTTCTTTATTCTAGACACATTTTCTACTTGAAACTTGACATTCTGAAACTGCCTAAGCCTTCAAGCTTTACCTGGGCTCCTTACCCTCTGCCTACTTTGACCTTGAGGGTTGATCTAAATACCTAGCGGGGGCACATCCCAGGACCTACCTAGCCAGCCTTATTTCTGCTGCCCACACACTTCTGATACCACTGTCAGCAGATACAAGGTTTAAAACTACATCTTCATTGGTACATAATTTTCTTAAATCTGGAACTCCTTGGCTTTTAGGTTAGTGAAGATTTTGAAAAGGGCTCAAGACAGCCATAAAAAAAAATTAAAATATTAAGTGCCTATGAGAAAAGCTGAAATGATCTGAAATTCTTCATATGGACTCAGTAGTAATCCCCATATACTTTTACTTATAATATGAAATGTACGAAGTGACTTCCAAAGAAGATAGGACAAAAAGAAGTGGGACTAAACTATAGAATGAGGAATCAGGGTTGATCTTAGGTATTGGTTCTTTGAGAAATTTACAAAAGCTAAGAACCAAATTTTGCACACAATTTCAAAGAGTACAAAAAGCCCCATGACGTGCGTTCCTTAAGGATTTGTGGATCCCATAATTAAAAAGCCTTCTGATATAAGGAAATCTGAGACTTGTTAAGTGCTGTCAAGTCAGTTCCGACTCATAAAGACCCTGTAAAGGGTTTCAAAGGAACAAAAGAACCTTGTGGAGCAGTCCAGTGCTTATTCTACAGCACCATAATAGGACTCCTTTCTGAGAGTATTGTTGTTAAGTGCCTTTGAGAGTTGGTTTCAACTCATAGCTACCCAGTATAGGGTTGCTGAGGAGTGGCTCGGGGATTTGAACAGCTGACCTTGGGATTCAAACTGACCTTGCGGTCCAATGTTTTTTCTACAATGTCACACAGTTAAAACATGAGAATAGATCATCACAGAAGGGGGACAAATTTTCTTCTGTAAGGCTGCTTTTACAATAGTAGTTCTTCAGGGGAACACAATTTAGGATCATTTGTATACAGAGTGATCTCATTGCATTTTCTGAGATATAAAATTGTCAAATATATGAAGAGTTCGAATGTTGAGTAAATCCACGTTGTTTAGCTGGTCTCAGAGTCAACAGAATGGAATCACACTATAGGTAGAATGTTGTTTTTATTTGAGATCCTACTGACACTTACTCTATCACTAATGGGATATGCAATCCAAGGCAATTTAGTTATGTCTCTGGGTCTCCATTTCTTCATCTATGAAATCAGAAAATTTAGATTACATAATTTCTTAGATCTTTTCTATTGATGATATTCTTACATTAAAGGTCCACCAAAAGTTTATGCTGGCGATGTTAAAAAAAAAAAAGCTTACAAGATAAGTCAAAAAGTACTGTTAAAATATCACAGAAACCTTTATTAAACAACAAAAAAATATCAAAACTATTTCTCGACATATCCTCCATTTAGGTCTATATACTTCTGAAGGTGGTGTTTCCATCTCTCTCACCCTTCCCTGGGAATCCTGGTGTGGTGCTGTAGGATAAGCACTAGACAGTAAGGTCGGTTTGAACTGCAAGGCCAGTGGTTCAAACCCACCAGTCACTCCTTGGAAACCCTATACAGGGTTGCTATGAGTCGTAACTGATGTTATGGCTCTTAACAACAATAACAACCCTGCCCTAACAATAACCACCCTGCCCTGGTGTGAAGCTGAAGGGTAAGCACTGGACTACTAACAATAAGGTCAGATGTTCAAACCCACCGGCCGCTCCTT